CAAACCATGATGGCATGTGCACCCTCTCTGTGGGCACGGGAGCAGTTGCCCCAGTTCTGCTCTGCCACGCATGCGCATGTACTTTCCACCAGCCAGCTGCTCATTGGGTCTCTGCTGTGCATGCGTGGGGTGGGGCATATGTGAGGGGGGGTATGCATCCATGCTCAAGGGGCAGGACCTATGCAGGGGGCATGCTCATATGCGGGGGTGCATGTGCATGATTGGAGACAGGGCGCATGTGCAGGGGGTGTGAACACATGGCATTTTGGGGATTCGGGCACATGCACGCTTTTGGCACTCGGTCAGGAAAAGGTTAGCCATCATTGTAATAGAAGGACAAGTCCTAAAGTATTGTCATAATTTAAATGTTTATTTAAGAAATATTATATGAAAAAATCTGAATTGTCAAATGATGTGACCTAATTCTATCTTGTTCATTAATACTATTACAATTACCACTAGAACCACAAAAAGTGCTTATGATAAACTACCAAGGTAATATATCTGAATTATTTATGACTTTGCACATTTAAGAAAATAATGCACCCTTTAGAAAAATGTTAAAAAATATTTTTTAAAATATAAAACTCCTTGTAAACAATACATGAATACAAAACTTAATGTAAATATGCATTTATTTCAAAGCACTTTATGAAAATGAGCACATGATTAGATTCTAAACAGAATCAATTCTTCCCCAAATATATTAAGTTAAAAATTAACATTGTGTCAGTAATGAATATATCATTTGTAAATATTGGGATTAACAATCTATGTACCAAAGAAATAAACTGCTCTAATCTAAGATAGTGATGGTGTATCTTTTGGGCTCAGCATGTCTAATTTGATTCTGCTGGCATGACATCACTCCACAAACAAAGGAGAGGCAATTCTCTACGTAGTTATTTGAAAAAATAATGTGTGGCACTAGGTATTATATAAATAAATATCAAATAATTCCAAAAATAAAATAAAAGCACAACAAAGTCAGTTTGGAGGGTTTCAAAAATAATTGTTGAATGTTGGGAAATGCTTGCATTGTGTCCCAAAATGTCGTGGCATGTGATCTTTGACACACGTATCATAGTTTTGACATCACTGGTTCTAGAAAAATAAAAAACAAAACTGTAGATTCTTACTTTTCTTCTGTTGCTGCTGCTTTATTTTGTTAAATTGGAGGTTCTGGTGAAAGGATCATCATTAGGAAAAAAAAAAGATCTATCCAGAATGCCAATCATTGTATTTCAAAACATAAATTTTGATACCTTCATAGCTGCAAATCCTAAGAAAGCTCCTACATGGGAATATTTTAAATATATTTATAGATAGAAAAAATGCTTTTAAAACCTAAAAACAACTTTATAGCTGATCTCTCTGCAAAAAGCGTTAATACAGAGGAATGATATGTTGAAGTACTAAACTTGTTTTACTTCCTTTATCAATGTGTGTTCCAATGAGAATAACACTTGTATTATTAGTCTGCATGGCTTGGACCATGCAATTTATGAACTACCGTATTTTTTGGAGTATAAGACACACCTTTTTCCCTCAAAAAAGAGGCTGAAAATCTGGGTGCATCTTATACACTGAATACAGCATTTTTTGCCTCCCGAAACCCCACTCCTTCACCAAAATGGCTGTGCAGAGACTTAGGAGGCTTCCAAGAGTGCTCCTGCGGGCTGGGGAGGGCAGAAATGAGTGAAAAATAGGCCAGCCCCCAGGAGCACTCTATAAGCCTCCTAAAGGCTATGCATGCCCTTTAAAAAATGGGCCCATTTTTGTGAAAAATGGGCCATTTTTGCTTATTTTGGGGGAGCACCCCCCAGGAGCACTCTATAAGCCTCCT